AAAAGCAGACTTGCATTCAACGAACACACACCCAAATATGTTCAAAACGTTTAAACGGCAATCCTTCAACGTGCAATTTAAAATTACTCAGAATTACGGCATGTGACTGACTTATTATCAAAATGAAAAGAACGTAACATTATGAGTTTGCCAAAAGTATCAGTTGTTGCTTGAATTTTTACTGGTCAATCTCGATCTCACTACTGCATTTATCATTGTAAAGGAGTTTTTGCAGTGAAATCCATCTCCTAACAATGAATATATCATTCAGGATATCTGTGTGGATATTTGTGCGCGGCGGAATGCTGTGACATAGCGTGAGAACTTCTTTTTTGTTCATTACGATCATTCATATTGCATTGGTTCAACGTGGGTTAGCAATATTTTTGTTCACCAGACACGAAGTCTTGCTCTGACTTTCGATGTCAAATTTACTTTTTCCTTCAGTTACAATCGTTGTGCAGGCCAGGGGTCGTCTCAAAATCGAAAGGCGATCCCGAAGATATACCGCAATTTTGGGAACAGAAANATCGTTGTGCAGGCCAGGGGTCGTCTCAAAATCGAAAGGCGATCCCGAAGATATACCGCAATTTTGGGAACAGAAAAAAACAGGGATTTTGTAAACGTCAGGTGCTGATAGCACACCTTCGCGGATTTGGGTGAATCGATTTATTTTCAGGCCGTCTTTCGAAGTTTGCAATGAGAAGAATCGCTTTAATTCAACCATTTCAAAAACCTACAAGGTAAAAAAGAGTAAAAAATGGAGTATGCCATATTCAGACACTTTTTCATCAGGGTTCTTCGGTAAAGACGTTGTGCGGGTAAGTGCTTTCGCTATCATTTTGATACTGTGTGGATCGACTAGATCAGACTCTTTTTGTCCGCTTACTTAAACAAGAATAAGTGAATAAAACTGCAGCGATCATGAAAAAATACCCACAAATCACAACTCTCATTTGTTAAAGCCATTCAACAAATCTGAACCACTAACCAACTATTACGAAGGGAGCAGATTCACAATTTAATGCAATGGTTATATTTTGCTGGCATACGCAGTTTGGCACCTGTTTGTGATGTTGGCTGACACTGTCCGTGATGTTACTTGTGGTGCTGATGCGAAGGCGACCATTAATAATATGATTTATCCACACAATAAATAAAGACGATAATAATAATTGAGTTGAGTGAAGATACACTGACGGTTGAGTGACGAAAGATGCCTTGGATGGCTCATACACAACAACAACACTGGATACACGAACAACACACTGACTGACTAATACAGAGCAACTGATATAACCACACTGAGCTACTTATATAGTGATTGAGATTAGCTGATCACAAAACAACGGTCACGAGTTGCCAACGGTGGTCAGAGAACACACGACATGCAAAGCACTATAGAGAGACACACAAGAAACCGCAAACAATAAACAAGAGATCACCGGTTTATCTCAACATCATCCTTCAGCACCGTTTTGACTTCCTATAGATTCTCCGATCGAAGTGTCATGAACAAAGAGATACCAAAGTTTTTATTGATGAATTTCTTAGGGCCGATTCATGACCGAAGGTTTGCAAGTTCTGAGAATGTTGCTTCAAAATGTGAGTGAGTATGGAGAAATTTGATGACTCTCGCATGAGCGCATGCGTGAAATATAACCGCATCCGGTCAGAAATAACAAGGAACATAGCGAAAAACAAGAGTTTCGAATATTCTCATTGAAATTCAGAGGAGAGATAAAATCATTTGAGTGTTTCAGTTCGGTGGAATAGGATCGCATCAATTAGTGATACCGAATACGGTATTTGGTCAGGCGCTAGCACTCCGTGATGAGTTCAAATGGAGCCCATTCGATGGATATCTTGGTCTCGCATTTAAGTCGATTGCCCCTGGAAGGATTATACCACCTTTTGAGAGAGCCTGGAATCAAGATCTCCTCGATAAACCAATTTTCACCGTGTGGCTGGAGCGTAAGGTCAGCATNGTCAGCATAGACTCGTCAGTTATCAACCTTCCAAACGCTTGGATGCATAGACAAATGCGATGAGCCGGCCAAGAACCGTAATGAATATAGGAATTTCGATACATTTCAATAAGTTGCTGGTAAATTGAAGATGACCTCTATTATGCGTACAGGATCTATTTGATTCTGTTGAAACCCAGAAAATCTATAAAAGTGAAATAATGGGCTGATCTCGAGAGAATCAGGATTTAAATTTAATGTAATAGTTGAATTTGAATTGATTGCACGCAGATTTTTAAGGGAATGGTGGATAATGTTGTTGGTGGAATGTTTACTTACGGTGGACTGGACCACGACCATTGTCAAAGTGATGAGATATATCAACCACTCTCCTCGGCCAGTTATTGGCAATTCACTATGAAATCGATCTCGTTTGGTGCTTATCATAGTAACGGGGCAAGCTATGAGGTCATTTCCGATACTGGCACATCATTCATCCTAGGACCAACTCATCTGGTGAATTCAATAGCCGAAGAACTTGGTGCGCAGGTGAGGTCGAAATCATTTGTATGGTATTTATTTCCGAGGTATATGTAGAGTTCTGTTAGCTTTGAGCGATTTGCAGATTGGTCATCATTCGGAGGTAGGTTATGAATGNGGCGTGTTCCTTTCGAATTGTTCCGGATACACCGAAAACATCAAATTAAGAATTGGTCATCATACCTATGAAATTGAACCGGACAATTACATCGTTCAGGTTTCCGCATTTTCACCTCATTGTGTAGATACGAAATCATATGTGCGCAGGCCAGTGCAATCCCTAATCGATACCGTTAAAATTTCTCAACATTCGGTGGAATATTCAATTTTGAGTGATGTTATCTAGACCCCAACATCCCCCTCATGCAAATGTGCAAAATGAACCTAAGAGGAAATCAGTTGTCAATGACAGCAATTTCAACTAATCACTTCCTCTGTTTGATAGAAAGAGACAACTATAGCACTTCAGTCACTTCAGTCAAGACACTTGTTGGACGGTCGTTTGGGGACTCATTTCTGAAAAGCTTATGCCATCCCGGATGAACTTTTTTTCGCTGGATTGAAATTCTCTTATTTGTAGAAGATCCTCTAAGCACTGGGCGGTCATTGATTTCATTGAAGAAAACGTAATATTTAGCTCATAACATGAAGAGAGTTGGAATTTAAGTAAGTAATTACGAGGTTTAGTAGGTTATGAGATGTTAGGGGAAGAATGATTATCTGTCAGATTGTAGGCGGTAATGTTATGCGAAATTTTATTCCAGATAAATGAATATGAGTGTGTGCTGGCGATGGGTACGTTCGCTGGCGTAGGATGGGGACCGCAGCTGATTCTGGGTCTTCCGTTCATACGGCAGTACTGTCACATCCACGATTTCGGCGGCAGGCGAATTGGTTTTGTGAAGCCAAAAACTCCTCAGAATTAACCGAGTGGTTTATGAGCCAACTGCGGTCAGATAACAATAAACTTCACAACAATGCATTCAATTGAGATCAACGATTGGATCGCTTGATTTTGTTGAAGTTACTAGTATCTTGATCACTTATAATGATTGTTAGTCTGTTCAGTATAATCATCGTTACTATCATAATTATATCGTTATTCATCAGTAGTCTTTTGATTGTCGTCAGCAACGTCATCGTTACTTTGTCTATCATAACACAGTCTTGTTGTTGCTATCTTTCTTGGTATCGGTGGGTTAGCCAATTCACTTGTATCCTCGTCACTATCGTTTGGAGTAAAGCATTCACAATAATTCTGATATGCCAGACGTAAATACATTAAGCATTCGATCGATCACATTACAGCGCATAACATTTGTCACCGATAAAGCACCGTAAGCATCCTTATTAGCTCAGAGGTTAACTTCTTTTTCACACCACCGACTTCACCGCATTCTCCAACTTGCGATAGCTTCCGGCCA